TGAACCCCGGGGTGCTTCACCAGAAAAGGAAGCCCTCCCAGCTTCCCTTGCCATGCCTGTAAAAAATATGGGGTTTTCCACACCAGAACAATTCAAATGCCTTTTCTTTTCTTCTGGCATCACTGGATAACAGCAGAATGGAAATGGAAATGAAAGTCACCAACCTATTCAAATCTATTCCAGGTCAAATGAGGGCTGAATACTTTTCCTAATGTCTTTCACAGAGAGCATTTAAGTTTCCAAAGCTTTCTAGAACTTAAGATTCTATAACTATGGGAGCTTGGGTTTTAAAAGCTGAAAGTTTAGTATGGTGATGGTGTTTCTTGATGAATGGGGGTCTTGGTTAGTTATTGTTTAAAAAATAAACAAACAAAACCCAAACAAAACAAACAAAAAACCCAACACTAAACAGCCCTATTTTGAAGGCTAATTTCTTATCTCATATAATCCATCAAACCTCCGCTGCAATCACCTTACTTTCACAATGAGAGTTGTAACAGCACATCCTTAAGAGATATTTGTTTTATTCTCTCAGGTAAAGCAAAGTTCTTCAGTTAACCAACACTCAAGCAGTAACATCATCTAAAGAATTTATTTTATAAATAATAATCATCTCTAATAATCAGCATTTTTTTTAACCAAGAAAGTTCAATTCAAACAGACTATGTAAAGTTTTCATATAAATTTTCAGCTCTCTCGAAGTTACATAATAACTTGATCAGTTTACAACTGCAACTCAGTTCTTGTTCTTAGAATGAACAACAAGCACTATGTCTTTACGTTTTAGACATTAGCATCCTTCAACTGACCTTGTCACACAGACAATCATCTAGTAACTACTGTCACACCTTTGAATAGATAAAACTGGCAACAGAGCAGAAATGTGATATTTAGAAACTCGATACAGAGTTTCTCTTTTTAGACTTTCATCTGTATGGCATTCCTACTACAGCCTATAAGTCTGCAGAATTTTCTGTGAGTCAGTTCTGTGCTAACCACAAGGCTGAGAGAGCATCAGCCAGTCAAAAATAAAACTTAAATCATTCTTTATCCTCTTTAGTGAACAACTGCTTTTTCTCAGAACAGATATATGCAGAGAGTAATGTACTAAAGATGTATCTATCCAGGACAATATACCATTACAACGTCTATCAGCTGCAGCACAGCTTTATTTGTCTGAGACCTGTCAATTAAAAAATGGTATTTTTTCATAGATTTTACACAGGTCTAATATGGGTACCTAATAACAGCTTATGTATTGAAACAATACCTACTACAGTACACCTTCCATTCACTCAAGGTTTGGTATATTTTTAATAGTGATTTTCTTACACAGAAATGAAGCAAGAAAAAAATTCAATGTGCAATTTTCATTGTTAAGACTTTTCTCTCTCTTCTTACCCTCAATCTTTATATGCATTTGATCTTTAACTCAGCATACCAGTGCTGTGACATTTCATGCCAACTTTAGCAAGATCTTATAAATCATAGCTGTTACATCAGTCACAAAGTATCTAGGATACCTCCTTCACTGAGAGTTATCTTGTGTGGCGCAGGGAACAAGGAAATTCCATTTGGCTGGCAGGGATTGGGGGCTTATGCACAACCTTATAAAATATATTTGTCAGATAAGATTACTAACAGATTATTCCCTGCCTCAGTATTTTCAATAGGAAGAGACTACATTAGCCAATAAAAACAGGGTTACACTGTGTGTTATATAAAGAAACTGTATTAGCTAAGAAAAAGAGGATTATACTATGCATTACATAAAGTATATATGTAGTACCATATTGCATATCCTATATATTAATTACATTCTCATATTTCATATTAAGCCTACACTTTGAGAAGAAATCAAAAATAAGTTGACTGATAGATTATGTACTCAGCAGCTATTAATAGTACTTTTAAAATCAGTACATCTCAGATAAATTCACAGAGATAATAATAACTTTTTCTATTTAAGAGGTGGGGAAATGGGAATTCTACTTCTGAGCATGATGTAACACCCACTGACATATTTCCCTATATATGTAGACGTCGTTATATTAAGAAATCACCAACGTATTTTCTACATATCCTACTCCCTTTATTCTCACCAAGGGAAAATATGGGAGCCTTGACTAGCTGCAGCAACAGGAAAAGTAACCAAGTCCTTCAAATTCTGCTGTGCTTTTGGTACTCTATCAGGTATGCAACTTTGAGTCCCCAAATACATTCAGAGTACTATAAAATAACAATTCAGTGGTTTATTGTTCTTTTAATCCCAGAGTACACAAGAATTACAGTGTAAATTCTTCCATACTGCTTAAAAGTATTTGAAAAAACAGATCATTAATACATCACATGTAATATGGGTGTGAAATTTAAGCACTGTTTAGGGGAACAGCAAGCAAACAATTGTTGCCATAGGGCTGGGAGGAGGTCGTTTGCAGGGAGTGTTAAGTTTGCTCACTTAGTCTTCAATCTGTAGGCGAGATTGTGAACCATTTGTTTCAACAGATAAGCATACACTCTGAAACTTCCAACACTTTGGTGATGAGGATTTCACAAGCTGACCCTTTTCTCTAACCTCCTAAAAATATAATTCATATTTTTTTCTTGTAATAAGGTCACTTCTATTCAGAAACCTACGTTTCAGCATAATGGCTTATTTTTCAGCACTTTATCATGAAAGTTTAAGTCGAACAGGTTTAAATCAAATACTTCTGTGAAAGTTTCATGTGGCACAGCCTCACGGTGTACTTAACTGCTTATCATGAGGAGGCAAGGCTTGTGGAACAGCTGCCCAGACACAACCTCAGCCGTTGAACTCTTGTTACTGGAGACACATCTGCCCTTGGTACTACCAGGAAGGTTCCCCTTATGAAGCAAAATTCCTTCATGAAAGAAACCACAACCTCCATGGGTTCCTAACACACACACATGCTGAGCATTCAACTTACCTCAGCAACCCCACCATACTTCCCCTTTCAAAGCAAACAAAATAATCAAAAGTGCAAATTACAAGTACACAAATGAGAAGTCCATATAGTTTCTGTGGCTTACCATTCCCTTCTCACCTGATCAAGAAATAGCCCTGCTACAGTTGGACTTTAATATCCACGTTCCCAGTGTTCGATTAGCTACTTTGAATACTTTAAAGCCCTGCCATGTGCTCTCACAGGAGCACACCACCAACAACTGCTTTAACAGACCCACATTGTCCTTTGGTCAGGGCTCATTTATTTATCATACAGGCTGCACTTAGCTCTTGCACCTTACAAGGAACATAACATTCCCTGCTACATTTCCTGATAGTTACAGTGGAGTAGTAATCCTAAATGGCCAAGACCATACACAATTACTTTTTCCAACACTCTTCCTACTTCCCCTTCTATTGAAAAAACAGGGGAGATATTTGTATTACTTACACAAGCAGAAACATCCACATAACTGTGGATGGGCTGTGTTGTTAGCTAAGAATTGCATCTATTTATATTTTTTTTAGCTCTGTGCTTCCTTGTTGAAACCCTGTTGAAGAAATCAAGTTAAAAGTCAAGAACAATGTGATCTACCTTCAAACAGCACTCATATTAATAATACAGGCAATCTATTGCTAGAAGCCACCTTCACTTCTCCTCCCTGTGGAAAGCACAGTCAGTTTGGACCAGGAAAAGAAGAAATGCTAGTCACAGTGAAATTCAGAGAGGTGGGCAGAAATACAGGCTGAATGTCAGATTCAAAAGAGGTAACAGATATATTTTCACCTAGGAAGATGGGTGAAGAATAAAATACCTAGACAAGAAAACTTGATACAGGAAAAGCCTCAGAAAGCTGCTTCACCTTTTCATATGGCCCACTTCTTCACAGATGCCTAGCAAATATCACAGGAGTGAAGGAGTGTCTCCTTTGAAGCTATACCTGTTTTGTTCTGTCCCCATCCTACCCTACTCATGATCCAGGTCTGCACATAAGTTTTTGTCAGTGTATGTCCAACAAATACTATGTTTTATACAGGCTTTGCTCTGTCACTGTTGACAGCCAATCACGGATCCTGTAAAGGATTCTTCTGCAGAAGTTAAACTCGGCTGGTCCTGCAAGATGTGATATGAAGAGGAAATGACCAGGTGGAGTCAAAAGGAGAAGTGACAGATTACAAATACAGTTCCACTTAAGTAGATACTTATTCAAGAATCCATACCCCTGACTACACTGCAGTAAACTCACATATCGTATCAAGGTGGTTAGCCAGTCCTCTAGACTGAGCACTTCCTCACCACCCGCCCCCCTCCTCTGTTTTCCACCTCAGGCACTACAGGGCAGAGATCTCTGTGATAGTACCTGTTTCCGAAGGCATTCAAGTATCACACTGCCCGTAGGCTTCAGGATAGCTAGGTCATAGAAACCTTCCCAGACAGATAACACCTACAAAGGGCATTTGAGTACCTCAGTATCTTTCAGTTGCTAAAGTGTAGCTCCTGGCATTATTCTTTACACCAGACTGTCTCTTCAAAAGCACCTTTAATTACTAGACAATACCTTTTAAAGCATCTAGTCTTCCCTTACTTCCAGCAAGCTCAGCAGTTGCTCATAAATTCATGTTTCATGGCACCCCTTTCTATTCATTCATCTAGCCCATTTTATTTTGTCCATCCAAAATCTTGTTGCAAGACTCTCAGGTTCAGGTTCTTTACTCCGCTGTGCCACCTTTACACCAGGAAATATTTTTGATCACTATTTTCATTTCATACAACTTAAGTTTCTTAGGCCAACTGAATTTCTTGAGTAAAAGATTTTAAGTTCAGTGCCTCCAGAAACAATTTCTCATCCATTTTTACCAATAAACAACATAAAAACCCCCAACAAATAGGAATGGGACAGTAGAGAGAAAAAGAAGAATGAAACATCTAGCTTAGCACAAGCTTGGCAATAGCTGCCCATGAAACATGGTGCTTCCTCTAAAACCTTTGGGAGTGTCAGATTATACATCTAGCAGGAGAAATGGGAGGGCACCATTCATATAAAATTGACATTCCAGGTGAAAGTTGTTCTTTCTCAAGTCAGTGGAGCCAAAAGATCAGTAACAAAAGTTCAACAGTGAAAGGAAGAATACTAAAATGGAAGATAATCTGGTAATTATGAGAACTTGGGAGTAAAAGGTATAACTGGAGATGGAACAGAACAAAAGGGAAACAGCAGCTCAGTATGGAAAGAAAACAGAGCAGCAGCAGGTCAGAAAGCAGCTGGGAAGGTCTGGGACACAGGTGCATTAGCTGGCAACAATACTGGCACTTCTTAATTACTTAATGCAACAGTGACTGGTTAAACTATATTCACTGCTACTGCCACTTTTCTTTCACAATTTACTGTTTGAAATGCTGCTAGGTCAGGCAACAGCAGACTCATAGAACAAAGTCTATAGCAGGAGTCTTTACTGCTCTAAAAGAGCTAGCTACAGAGAAGAAAACAAATAAAGCTGTACAGCCACATGCAGGCACAAGGAAATGTGAGCACTCTGTTTCAATTTGCCACTCAGAGGTTAAGGTTCACAGAACCACGTAGGAAGAACTTGATACAGCCACTACCTTTTTATCTAAGGGAAAACAATGCATTTACAAACACAAATGAATCATTATCCAAACAGTGTTTAAAACTTGGCTCAAAAAAAAAAAGATCAAAAAGGCAGCAGAGTTAAAAAAAATCCGGATTTAAATAGCCCCACTTAAACTATGGGCCTTTTAAAAGTTATTACCTGGTTAATAAAAACATTACTAAAACTTACCAAACATCACCTTCAGCTGGAATTTTAAGATGCAGTCAGATTTAAAGCATTTATACCCTCCATTGCCTTCATTCTGGGTGTTTACCCTCATGGATCCCTTGATTTTTTGTTGTTATTGTTTTTTTGGGGGTTTTTTGGTTTTTTTTTGTTTTAACTGGAACGAATCACTACAGTTAATAATTCCTGCAGTGGAACTCGTTATTCCACTCAAATGTGGTACGAACGGTTTGACCCAGCGCTGAGGAGCCGTGTTAAACAGCAGGCTGGCGACAGGTCAGCCAGAGCCCAGGGAGGTGTTGGTTACAAGGGCCGCTGTTGCTCCCTGGAGAAGTTCAGTGCGCTCAGGTTTGTGTCTTTTCCCGTGCGGCGCTGCTCGCTCCCAAACAGCAAAAGGAACTTTTTCCCCCAAAAGTGCAAAATACGCACGGCCGCATAAATTTGCCAAAGGCCGCCGGCCGGCAGACCCAGCCCCTCCTCGTCTCCCTCGCAGCCCCCTCCGCGCCCGCGGAGCCCCCGCTGCCCGGCCCCGGCCCGGCGGGCCCTACCTCGGCAGGGTGGATGCGGAAAGTCTCGGCGATCTTGGCGTAGAGCTCGCGGGCGCTGCCGAAGCCCTCCACGCGGCCCGTGGG